CCCCCTCCTCCGCCTCCTCCTCCTCCTCCTCCTCCTCCTCCACCTCCACATCCACCTCCACGGAATGATAAACGCGAGGGGAAGCTGCCCTTCCAATTAATAATACACTCTCTCTCTCTCTCTCTCTCTCTCTCTCTACTCTCTCTCCCAATCAGCACGTACATCGCTTTGCGTCCGATCGAGTTATCACGTAGGCTGCGTAAATATAAATTACCATTAGCATCGGTTGCATTAACTATTAAGATATTGTTATTACGATATTTCCTCACAGCACCAACCTGGCTACTTTATAGTAACGCAACTCGTTAAGAGTCCCGTGGCTGGTATATACGTAATACAGTGAGAGTCCCGAGTGAGCATCGAGATCGGTAGCTCGTATAAATCTCCACAGCCGAGTCGACAAGCGTATTTTCAAAAGATGAAAAAAAAAAAAAAAAAAAAAAAGGAGAGAAGGGATAAAACTGAATCTCGATCTCTCGTGTAAAAACGTCGAGTTAGCCAATAAAATAAAAAGAAGATGAAATCTTAAGAATTTCGCTGCCGGGATTTCCATTGAAATGTTTCTTACTCGCGATCGACTCGAGTCTCGCGCTTCGCTTCGCTTCCTCAGGCGGCGAACGTGTCGAAATCGTGAGCTCTATGTACATCGACACCGCAGCCTCCTGACGTCCCAGCGTCGCGGCTTCAATTCGAAGGGTAATCCATATTACGGGAGGAGGTTGGTAATGCATCGCGCACGTCACTTCGAACTCGTCCCATTGCGGAACACAGGGAACACAGAAACACGGATGATTTTGCAACGCTAATGGCTCGACCGGCGAATCTCGACGCGCGAACCTGAGTAACCGAGCGGCCGTAAAGGATTCCGATCGCAATCGAATGGGAATCAATGTGACAGGATTTCATAACTCGAGGAACGAGATCAATCGCTAAAATGGATTATGGGTAGCATCAGGTAGCACGGCGACGGGGTTCGTAGGTAGAAACGTGTGAATGGGCCCTAAGAGAGCAATAGGAGCAATAGGAGCAATAGGAGCAATAAGAGAGAAAGGGTCCATTTACAATCGAGAGGAGAGGACGCCGGCGACACTTCCGTCTGAATAAACAATTATCGCGGAACCTGATTGCCCTTCCCGAATTTAATCCGGTCGAGCACACGCGCACGCACATCCGCTCACGAGATAACTCACGTGACACTCGCACAGCCTCTCTCTCTCTCTCTCTCTCTCTCTCTCTCGTCTCGTGTTACGGCGTTGCGCAACGGAAAGACTTGACAATATTTATAGGACGCGCTACTCGGATTCACCTGTGACGTCCTGTGAAAATCAAAGCGGCCAATTCTGCCTGACGGATTATCTTTTGACCGAAGCGTATTCGGTGTGAGGTTAGCTTTATTTTTTATACGTGCCTAAAGTTAGATACAGGCCACTGTATGGAGCGAGGTATTCATCACTGTGAATGAATGAGGAAATCATCACGTGGACCTATGACGTACATAGGAATCGATGCTGTGGACTGTTGACAATATGAATACCTCTTGTGGTGCATCGCTTTTCTTCTTTTGGGGAGGACAATTTCACTCGTCCGCATTTAACGTCACGGATCTAGGGAAGCTGGTTCATGGAAATTTAGTCGTTTAGCGTTTCTATCTATAAGTTTATCGTCTAAATTTAGCGTTTCTATCTATAAGTTTACGTGAAAAACTGATGAATTATCAAGCCCTATACGGAACCTCCTAAAAGATTCATGCTGTAGTACGTCCGTCGTCGGTGACCCAGATCGATCGTATTACAAAGCCAGTTCTGTGCTTGGGCTATGATTTGGACTCCTTCGCAGTCGAGTGGTAAACACGCAGGGTTCGCCAACTTCTACTTTTAAACTATATCATTTATTCCTGCCTCGTCGATAAATAAGCTCTGCTGTATACCCAGCCTGGGAATGCTTGCACTCGTCCGGATCAAAATTCAAATAGCGCTTTATTCATTGTACGTCGAGTGAATCGAAGACGAATTAATTTAACAAAAAAAAAGAAAAGTAAAAATTAATTTGCTAATGAAAAAAAAAAAATATATAAAAAATGTTACTTTTAGTCGCTATGTTTTTTTAAGTTCTATATTTCTGGCAGGATTAAGGATTTTCCGTCCGACAAAACTGGATCATTAAATAAGGATTAGGAGACGCGATTGTCGCGCTCTTTAATTTCTAGCCGCACGCGGCTTACGAACGTCGCGTCGCGGAATGAAAACTCGGGCTGGTTGTTTTGTACGGTCCGTGCTTCGCTCGTCCCTTGTTATACTTATAGTGGTCTTTTCATATTTTGACAGGCGACTGACTGGTGGCTCAATGACATGTATCTGTCGGTTCCTCTGGCGCTGCCAATTAACAGCAATCCCGGATTGGCAGCGAGACCTAAGCAATTCGCCAATCAGCGTGAAGCTGCTGTTTTTCTTGCGCGATTTTTGACGGAATTGCTCAACTATCAGGAATCGCTGGACAGGTAAGAGCGAACGTGGACGTGGGTGGTTTCCTTGAGATTTTGCAATTCCAATGCGACGCGGTGTCCGTGTAAGACGCGTACTCGATGAACATTCTGCGCTTCCTTATACAGAATCCCATTAGTCACTTTCGTACTTTTTATTCATCGTGAATGTCAAAACAAGAAATCCGCAGACGGTTTCTTTAATTTTTCTTTTTTTTTTTCTTTTTCTTTACTTTGACGAATATTAACCAGCCGGATAGAGAATCCAGGAAGATTGAATCCCGCCTGAATGTCTGCCCGTTAACGAGGACAAAAAGAAGCCACATTAGCAATGCCGACTGGAAGGCTGGAATCAATTTAGAGGCCTGTCTGCGAGGAAATCCCGGTTGTAAGATCCATAGAAAGCGAGGATAAAGAGGATGCGCCTCTATAGAGGCTCAAAGCTCCGGGATTCGCGACCTGGTCTTCCTGCAAGGACTCTGTGCTTTCTTTCAGGATCCTTCGATTCCCTCACTGCCACGAGTAGCGCAGCCATTTTTTTTGGCTTTTAATAGCAAGACACCATTAATGATAACGTTTGACAGATTTCCCTTGTTCCCTGTTCCTCGACAGATCCGAACTGGAGGTGGAGCGAGTCAAGTCCAAGGATGGCAAGTCCCTGCAGCCACTGTGCATGGCTCAGCACTATCAGGTCCTGCGTATCTATCGGCGACCAGGAAAGGAAGTCGACACTCAGATCGTGCTGGACAGAGTCTCCTCCGGCAACCACATAATCGTCGCTCATCACAACCAGGTAGAATCAAGATGATCCATCACAGCCTGATATCAAATACTCAAGAGATTCGTGTATCCGTAGTTTTACAGCATCCCGGTAAGAGCCTCGGACAGAGGACGTGTAACGGAAGCGGAACTGACCCAGCAGATCTTAAAGATCATGGAGATACAAGCCGACCCCAGAACTCCACCAGTAGGCATCCTGACCACAGCGCGAAGACCAGTCTGGGCCCAGGCTCGCGAGGAGTTGCTCAAAGGTCGGTCGATCCGCGCCAACTGAAAGGGCCTGTAGCGTCTACTGGGTTCTACCCTCTATCGGTCGATCCCTTCAGGATGGCGCGACTCAGGCCTACCACCATAATTATCCAGCCGTTCTCCTCTTACCAATATTCGCAATATTCCCCATTAGCTCCCTAACCCGCAACTCGACCTCACGCAACCCCAGCAGCCATCCTCGGCAAATCGAATAACCGTGCCTCCGCGTGCCCGAGGATGATCTAACGACTCCCTCTTCGTTAACCTGAGGATTCCGTTATCCCCCGTTATAACCTTCAACGTTAACCAACAGTTAACGTCACTCGATCTTTCAGACGATCAAAATCGGCACAACATCGAGCTCCTCGAGAGATGTCTCTGCGTCGTCTGCATCGACGACGACGTCCTACCTGGCACCTTCAACAATCCTCTTAGGCGCGACGACCGGTGGATCGGCAATCGGGACTACGCAAACGTGCTTCATCATGCTCTTCACGGCGGCGGCTCCAGACATCTAGGTGCCAATCGATGGTTCGACAAGACCTTCCACGCGATCCTGGGCAAGGTCAGTTGCTGCTGATCGACTCGTCGAGAGTCGGCGACTTGTCGGCTCGTGGCGCATTGCCAAAGTCCACTTGTCCATGTTTCACCTTCTGGCCTTCCGATCCATTCCGATTCTCCCAGGACACTTTCTCCGCGAGAACGCATCGCGCGTCGCGCGTCGCGCGTTATGCAAGCGAGCCTTTATCGGTGTCAAGGAAGGCGATGTTGCTCATTTACTCAATGCCTCCGATTCCCTTGGTCCTCCTATCTCCTCCCCGTCGCTCTCTCTCTCTCTCTCTCTCTCTCTCTCTCTCTAATCTCTCTAAAGACACTTGGACAGATCATTTCTCACTGATTGAATATCCTTGGCGACACTAGGACGGCATGTGGGGCCTGACCTATGAGCATTCGGCTGGCGAAGCACCAGCCGTTTTTACGGCGTTCGAGGAACTCACGGAGAAGGTGGACGCGATGCCGCCTCCAGACGGAAACCTCATTCCGTCGCACTTGCCGGCACCGGAGAAATTGGAATGGCACCTGTCCGAACAGAGTCTCAGCGACATCAGAGACGCCATGACAACCTTCGACGCGTAAGTCTCTACAGAGTCGCCATTTCAATTTCCTTTCTGGGACTGTACGTTGTACACGTCACTCTTATAACTCATGCTCTATTGGTCACGTCTACGAAGGCTGGTGGAGGATCTGGACCTGTGCATTCTATGGTTTGAGGAATACTCCAAAGAGTTCGTAAAGTCCTGCAACATCAGTCCCGACGTCTACGTGCAACTGGCACTGCAGCTCACGTACTTCAGGTGAATTCAACATAGTGTAGAGTCACGTTACGATAGATGCGCGACTATGTCGATATATATAGATATAGGATAAATGAATGGTCTGCTCGAGAGGTAATTATTTGTCGGACGATCAGATTGCATGGACAGTTGGTGGCGACGTACGAAAGCGCGGGAATAAGAAGATTCGCCCTGGGTCGGGTAGACTGTATAAGAGCCGCGAGCCCGGAAGCTCTGGCTTGGGTGAAAGCCATGTGCCAGGGTGACCCCGAGTCTCAGCCGACGAGTCAGCAGAGCGCGGACCAAGAGGAAGGCTCCAAAAGAGTTCAGTTCACCATTTACAGTGTAACTGAATCTTTTCCATTTTTTCGTAGCGAACAAGAGAGAAAGAGAGAAAGTTTTTAAGTGCTTCATTTCTTTGCTTATTTTTGAGAAAAAGATATTTTTTATTCGCTACTCGAGGATGCTCTCTTGGGGAGCCTCGAGCGATTCCCCAGGACAGGATCCAGGAAGACGAGAAGAGCCGCCGCCCCCCCCCCCCCCCCCC